GTAGTTTGTACCTTATTTCTAATCTAAACGACAATCTGCAAAGTAGAAGTCACACTTGTACCCATTTTACAAATCAGGAAACTAAGGCTTGGATTGACCCACTAACCCTAGTGGGTTCTTTTTTCTTTTCCTGTTAGAGCAATTTGACAATTGCACAATTCTTCCCCAACAGAATGTGGTCAGTCTAGAAAAACTTCCTCTACCAGTGCTTCACTTACTTTATTATTTTATTTTAATAGATAACTCACACACTAGGTGTAAAAACTGGTAGCAACTGTATTTAGTACAAAGGTAACTTACTCCCTTACATTTCCCTGAGGCACCAGTCAACAACTTTCTGGGTGTCTTTCCGGAAACATTTTATGTCAATACAATAACAGATGTAAATATTTCTAAAATTTAACTAGAAGTGTTTCACATACATTGTCCTCCATCTCTCTCTTTCCACTCAGCAATATGTCCTGGAAATCACTACATATTGACTTATTACCAGAGCCTTTCCAGCAGCTGCACAATAAAAGTTGTAGGGGATCTTATTTCTTTAAATCCTTCTACATTTATGCCCATTGAAGTTGTTTCAAATCTTCTGTTATCACAAGCAACAGCGAGTATTCTTACAAATGGGCCATTTTGCACATACGCAAATGTGTCTGCAGAATAGATTCCTTCAGTTGTAATTGCTGGGTCAGATGTCTTTTTAAATTTCTCATAGATATCCTGCTTTTCATCCATAAATGTTATATAAATTTATTCCCCTCTGGCAGTGTTTATACCTACCCTCTCCACAGTACAGGAACACTTACTTGTACAAAAGGAAAATGAAAGAGAGGAGAAAGGGAAGGACATGGAAGATAAGGGAAGAGGAGGTCTAATTTGTCAATAGAGATCCAAAAATACTGTTGTCAGCCTTGCCTAGGAGTCAAGCAGTTGCATCAACACCCATTTCCTGAAACAGTACTACATTCTGACTGAAACTGGGAAATCTATTTCTTTCTCTGCTACTTTATATGAGTGACTGATTTATTTTAAATGAATATAGGATTTGACATGGAAACTATTAATTCTGCTCTTTGTATAAAAAAGACAACCCCATTTTCCAGTAGACTGGCTCCTCACAACCCTGGGCCACTTTTTGTCCACATGTGACTGAGGCACCTACCTTGTACCTGGTGATGACACCCAGGGAACTACTTCATCTTCCTGAGCACTGTTTACTTAAGATACCTCTAACACAGAGAAGCACAGTCACTCCATTTCTCCACTGGGTTCGCTCCTTTCATCAGTCTCATCGACAGCCTTTAAGAAAACACTATTATTTAACTTTGTGGAGACTGGTTTCCTCCACTCCCCATGTAGGAAGACAGACCCCTGGATTTCCAAGGACAAATGTTTGTCACCTTACTTTTCCTATCTAAAACTTGAAATTCATGTAGCAACTGATAGAAGCTTTTTACATGCCAAAATATCTCTGAAAGTATAGAGCAGTTAATCAGCCTTGGTGACAAGAGATAACTGGTAGAAGGACCCTAAGATTTACTTCCTGTGTTGGTAAGTTCCAACAGCTTTCTCACCCAAGCCATTAACAGCAACAGTTTATTAAATGATTTACAATGGGGGCAGAACACTATTCTCCCTCTATCTCTTGACTCCCAATAAAGAAGGAAATAATTAGCACTAATTTCTACTGGTTAGAACTAACATCTTGATTGTTCTACTGTTCATTAAAAAAAAAATCTTTTGGGCAATCTTGCCCATTTTCAGAGGGCTTGCTGGAGTTGGTGGGACTTCCTCCCTGTGGAGGGGATGGCTCTCCCAGGAGGTAGTACCTAGAACAGAGCACAGGTACTGAACACCACCAGTACCTTCCGGTCTAATTTCTGACATAAATGGTGAGTCTTTCATTTCCACTGTCTGGTGAAGAGCCTGGCACAGAGTGGTTGCCAATGGTTGTTTCTTGAATTAACAGATAAGAAGAATTCTACCGCCAAAACTCTTCAGCCACCTTCCCCCCAAGTCTCAGATATTTTCTAGTGATGAGTGTGAGCAGGCTCTGTGGGGCGCCATGATCTGAATGGAGATTGGGGTTAGGGTATGCTTTTCTTAGTTTGTTCAGAAATGCCTTAAAGGCATTAATAAATAAGGGAGATAACAAAGATTCTCAAAATTAGCCTCAGAGTCTTTCTCTGGCTGCTACTGCCTTAGAGAAACAACTCTCTAATCCCAAACTGTTCACAGATTGTGCCAAGACCCAATTCTTGCGTTAGCTGCTCTTTGAGGGGGAGGGGGAACAAACAAACAAAAAAATCTAAAAATTCACAATCACTCAAAGAAAAGTTCAAATTTTAAAACGGGAAATAATACTGATGCATTTATTTCATTGCTTATTATTTGAACTGATCACTTAAATTATTGGACGAGGATATTTCAGAAAATTCGTGGAAACGGAATTAAAAGATGCTTGTTTGGGTGCAAGAAACTTGAAATCCATGCCTAGAAGGGTATTTCAAAAAGTTCATGAAAAATGTGTATTTCGAAAACACTCTGCATGAATTTCAAAACTTCTTTTTCTTTTTTTGTTCCACCAAAATAAGCTTCTCTTCTAATTCCGCTTTAGGCGAACATTTTGAATTTCTCTCTCCTGGGAGGTCTGGAAGGAGGCGGAGCGAATACCCTCCCCTCGGGCCCGCCCCAGGGCAGCGGGTGCCTGGGTACCCGGGAGCCGCGTGGGACCGAGGAGGATCGCTGGCGCTTAGCGTCTCTGAGATACTCGCCAGTATCCAGATCGCCGCACCCGGGCGCGTGGGCCTCGCCAACCTCCCAGCGGGCTCAGCAAGGGAAGTGCCCTTTTTCCGCAGCGTGCCGGGCTTGGGGCGGGTCGGTTCCGCAGTCAGTCGTTCGGGGAAAGCCCTTGTCCCCGAATTGAAGTCTCACGTCCTCTGCGCCAGCCTGGAGGCCTCGGCCAGCTGCCCAGCTTGGAACCCCTAACCCTTTCCCGCCCCACCCCTCCACCTCTCGATTCCCCCCCCCCCTTTTTTTTAAACCTGAGAGAATCGGCCCGAGTCTCCGCCTCCTCTCCGCGGGTGTCCGCGCGTCGCGGCCGCCTCTTTCCGCTGTCAGCCTGCACTTCTGAGACCCCGAGGCCCAGACCCCGAGTTCCCCGCTCTGGGCCCTCCGCGAAGCCGCCTGGTTCCGTGTGCGCGTGCTCTGTGCACTCCGCAAACGCGAGCGTGGAGGCCGGGCGAGATCTGCGCGCGCGAGAGCAGCTCTGCCTGGCTAAGGCTAGGGGCCTTGTAGTCGGCGCCTTGGCGCTCCGAAGGTGCCCACAGCAGGCGGGGCCTGCGCCAAAGGGGGACGGGGGTGCGGACAGACTCGCAATCCCACGGCCGAGTAGTGGAGGAGGGAGGTGAGAGGGGAGTCTAGAAAGGAGCGGAGTGAGCCTCCTACAGGTGGCGGAAGGGGCTAAGAGTGGAGAGAACTTGAAGACAGCTGAGAGGTCTGGGGAGGTTCGGAAAATGGTCGGGGACGGACACCTAGAGCGTGGGAAGGCTGGGCGCGAGCGCTATATGCAAAAGGATTTAAAACATGCAAATAAATGTTTGTATACCTGCATTGCAGCACTATGCACAGTAGCCAAAGGGTGTAGAAACTCAGATGCTCATCACTAGATGAATGTATAAAAACACGGCAGTCTATTCATACGGTGGAAGATGATTCAGCCATAAAAAGCGTTAAGTTCTGATGCGTGCTGCCTCGGAAGAATCTCAAAAATATGCTGGGTGAAAAAAGATCACATAGTGTGTGATCTTCTACATGATAGGTCCAGAGTTGATAAATCCATAGAGACAAGATTTGTTAATTATCAGAGGCTAGGGGTAAAAAGGATTAAATGAATATGTTTTTAATCGAGCCTCCTCTGGAGATGGTGAAATGTTTTGGACTAGATAGGAAAGAGCTGATGGTTGTACGGTATTTTGAACGTGCTAAATGCCATTGAATGGTACAATATCACAGTTAATTTCGTGGAATGTGGATTATGCCTCAATTAAAACTCATAACCAATAGAGGCCAGGTACTCCAGCCTGGAATGAGGCACAGTGTAGCCAGGAGCCAGCCACAGCTAAAGTTGCAGCCAAATCCTGGCAGCTTCCCTACTCTGGCAAGGTGGCCAAGTTGCTCTGGGTTTGGAGGCGAACTACTTGCTGGTAACCTTCCAGAGCGCCCTAGCTGCTGCCCGTGGATTCTGAGCGCAAAGCTGAGGGAAGGAATCCGGCCCCAACTGGCCGAAGAATGGAGGTCCAAAGCCGTGGGCCATTTCGGCCTGGCTCTGCCACCTGGGCAAAATACCCCAAATCTCATGGGTTCCAGACCAAGGCACCGGAAGTGGCTGATCAGGTAAAGGAGTCGGTTGAACCGGCCTCTCTCTGGAATTTCCAGTCATCATTTTAATTGCATCTTATCGATAAGATTTAACTTTGGATATTTTATCACCCCGAAGATCTGGATGTGTCTTAACAATCCCAGATGTGTCTCATTCTAATTGCAGTGTTTTTCTAAGAGGTGTATACAACAGTGATGTGTCTTGGAAAAAAAATATTGCCTTCGATTAGAGTGAAAATTTCTGGTTATGTGTTTCCCGTGATTATTACTTGAAGTCTGTCTCCCCCTGTTTCACTCCTTGCACAGTGCCATAGTAAGTGCTCAATATATGTTGACTGAAAAAGAAAATGAATGAAAGCTATTTTTCTTTTTAATTCGAGCATTGACTACGATTTGCAGGCAGTTTGACCCAGGAAAAGCCATGTAACCTCTTTGAGCTTTTCTAGTTCACAAAATGGTTGTGATGATATCAATATCGCGTGGAGAGGGGGGTGCATGTGTGACACTGGCAGCCGGAAGTGCATACGTAGATGTGCAAACCTAGTTCATCTGTACAAGTGCTCCAGGCCTAGGTACTCAATCCCAGAAAACTCCAACCTAGGAAAAAAGCAGGCACAATGTGGTTGTGTTTTTGAAAACAGTTTATGCCGATATATAAATGAGGGTCAGGAAAGGCAGATCGGTGTAAAAATGCATTTGACTTTTTTTTTTTTTTTTTAAAAAAGCGCTTTTAAAAAGTTGGAGCTAAGAAAGCAGGGAAGAACTGCATAAGGTGGGGGTGGTTATAGCTCTGATCCAGCTTCGATGCTGGACTTCTCAGCGTCGCGAAGTCTCAAAGATCGTTTGAGTTCGGAGTGTCTGCAGAGGATGGAAAGAAAAGCAGCATTAGAAACCAGAAAGCGAGGACTTGTAGCCTCTCCCCGCCCAGTCCCCGCCCGTTATACAGGCACTTGAGGACACGAGTGGCTTTTGTCTTCCTAAGCGCAAAGCACAGGACCTGCCAATTAGTTCCAAAATGTTGTCAGCTCCCACTGCACTCCCAAGCCTCCTCGGTGGAGCAAGGCGTCACTGCCCTCCGGGCTCTGAGCGGGGCTTCGCCCGAGGGCTTAAAGACTTCTACTTTAGTGATCAATTCTTACTGACTGCTTGTGCGGGGGGAGGGGGAAGCTGAAAATGTCATCTCGCTCTTCTTGCGGCTCCAGACACCTCTTACACAGGGTGCAGAACCAGCCAGCGAGCTCGTGTCACCAAAGCGCACTCCTATTTCCATGTCCAGGGGAAGGTAGACATAGGAGAAACTTTGGTTTCAATTCCCCCCCCCCTTTTTAACTTTTTTTTTATTTGACAGGTAGAGTTATAGACAGTGAGAGAGGGAGACAGAGAGAAAGGTCTTCCTTCCGTTGGTTCACCCCCCAAATGGCCGCTAAGGCCAACGGGGCGGGGCGCAGACCCAAGACAAGTGCTTCTTCCCTGTGCAGGGCCCAAGCACCTGGGCCATCCTCCACTGCCTTCCCGGGCCACAGCAGAAAGCTGGACTGGAATAGAAGCAGCCTGGACTAGAACCCGGTGCCCATATGGGATGCCAGTGCCACAGGCGGAGGATTAGCCAAGTGAGCCACGGCGCCGGCCTCAATTCCCCCTCTTTCAAACCCGCTTGTGGCTTCCTATCATTTCTGGAACAATGTGGCTGCTCCTTTCTTTTACAGGCAAGATCCCTACACGACCTGGTTCCTGCCTTCCCCTCCACTCTCCCCCAAGACACACTGCACTTCCCTCGGTCTCCCCAGCCATCCCGGATCTTCAGTCTCAAACTTCAGAATTACTCCGCGTCTGCGGCTACTTTCTTTTCATAGGGTCTCTGGCCACTCTTTAGCCTATCTTCCTGTTTACACTTTTCCACCGCCTTGGATTTCACACGTTGACTCTCTAGAAATACACTGTTTTAATCGTTGTAGTCGATTTCCCTGAATGTGGGCTCTGTGAGGGCAGGTCTCTGGTTTTGCTTTTTACTTCTATGACCCCAACACCTAAGATGGGCTGATTGTGTAGCAGCATCTTAACTAAAGAATGATGTCCCTTTTCCCCATATCCTTACCTTCCTATCTGCGCATTCACCCAATCCCAGATGGAAAATGCAGCGAGGCCTGGGATGGTTTCATCTGTACTACACAGGTGCACACTTGTCTTTTTGTTTTCCCTAAGCAACAGTAGGTCACTTACATTGTATCTCGAGATGATTTAAACAGGAGAATGGGCATGCGTTACCTGCAAGTACTATCCCATTTTATGGTAACTGAAAGCATCAGAGGATTTTGGTATTCGTGGAGGGTCCCAGAACCACTCCCCCGCAGGCGCTTAGGCAAGACTGTAATTGTGCTTGGAGAGCTTGGGGGCAAAAGGACGGACAGGAAGGAGGGTGTGTTTGGCTACATAGCTTCGACTTGGTTATTAAGGGTCGCTCAGTTTATTCATTTGCCTTGGAACAATTCAGTCAACTATTTTCTCCCCGTCAACTCTGCCTGGCTACAACTCTGTGGTTCCACTTAGTGCCCTGGACGCAAGCTGCGATTGGAGCAGGAGAGAGCTTGCGCCACTGAAGTAGATCTCGCCTCTCACGCCCAAGGCCAATAGGGTTCTGCATTCAGTATGCACAGCATCTCTCAGCGGAGCGCGCAAGCCTCCGCCTTGGCTCCACTAACGCCCAGGGAGCCTACAGCCCTAGTTCTGAGTTAGCATAAATTCTAGTCTCTTCAAAGTCATATTTTACCTTTAAATATTAGTGTTGCTGTCGTACATCGCTTCTCATATCTATTTTGATTTAAAAAAAATCCTCCCCCAGGCCCATTTCTCTCATTCATTGGTCTCTCAAAAAACTGAAAGCTTAAGCAAAAAACAGGGGCAAGAGGAGAGCTCCGTCTCCCTCCCATAGTGTGCAGCAAATCCGAATGTGCAGATTTGGACGTCGCCATCCCACAGGCCCTAAAATTCCCTTGCGGAGTTGTGGAAAGCTGCACCTCTCCACCGCATAAAGCGGAGGGTCGCATTTAGTAAAATCTTGCAACTGAGCTGAGAATGACGGATTTCACGCAGACACCCTGCAGAACCGGTTTTGGAAATCCAGCGGTTGGTCCCGCGATGTATTTATGCGAACGCCGAACCTGAGACCCGGGAGAGGGGATGCGGCTCACTAGCTAGCCTGCAGGAGGAAGCCGGGGCGCTAGCTGGACCTCCAGCCTCCAAGGTCTTGTTTAGCCTTGAGCTGCGTGGGTGGGGGTTGGGGGGGGATTTGAGCGGTGGCAGAGGCAGGACGGGGTGTGGGACGGGCTTTCACGAACCCAGATTCCGCAGACTGCGGCTCTGACTAGGCTGCGAGTTGGCAAGACTCGGGTTTTCCCGGGCCTTAGGCTCTGTGAGCCGAATTGAGAGCCCAGACCCTGCTTTCCCGTGCTCAACTTTGCCTTCTTGAAAACAAGCGCACTGAGCTTCCGGAGCTCTGTGTTGGAATTCTGGCATCATCCGTCCTCACCTGCGGTACCTTCCACGGCCCTTGCGCGGGCGTGGTTACCGCCTTCGGCGGCGCGCAGGTACCGAGCGACGTCGCGGTGGCCCCGCTCCTCAGCCAGGTCCACGGGCAGGCGGCCCCCGGCGTCGCGCACGTCCAGCCGCGCCCCGGCCCGGTGCAGCGCCACCAGCGTGTCCAAGAAGCCCTCCCGGGCGGCGTCGTGCACCGGTCGGCTGAGGGTGGCGGGGTCGGCGCAGTTGGGCTCGGCGCCGTGGAGCAGCAGCAGCTCGGCCACGCGGGCGCTGCCCATCATCATGACCTGCGCGAGAGGGAAGAGCGGTCAGGGCTAGTGTATGGATCAGGACTTTGTGAAGTATCCCTTCCTAGGCAGACACCAATGCCAGGCACGGTGTATAATTGTCGTTCATTGGCTTCCAGTCACCAACACCCTTCTCCAGTTCTCCCACCCATCCCATTTTCAGTACACACTGGATTGCATCGTATTCTCCAACTTTTTGCGGAGCTCTGGCCACAAGCAGAACACTATCAGACAGTCAAAGCGAAAAACAGTGAAGGACAAACTGCCTTTTACTACGGTGGTCCGACTGCCTGTATTTTCCCTCTCATTTGGAGATGAAACCATGTGAAGGCATGGAGACTTTGCTTAGTTCATTACTGTATATCCAAACCAAGACATGTTAATTTTTAAAAGCCAACAAAGCACCATGCTTCCTGAAAAAAATCTTTTGTTATATTTATGTAACAAAATATATATTTATATATATTTATAGTATATATAAGATAAATATACCTATTTATCTTCCTTGAGTGTTAAAACTCATTTCCTGTGGTAAGTGGCATAAGGTCCTCACAATGTCAAGGTCCCAATTCTTAGAAGCTGTGAATATGTTACCTTATGTGGCAAAAGAGACTTCACAGATATGATTAAATTAAGGAATTCTTTAAAACTTAACTGACACCTAATCGTGCATATTTATTTGGCACCATATGATGATGTTCTTAATGTTAACTGACACATTAAAATACTGTGTATTATGTGGCATGATGTTTCTATACATGAATTCACTGCGTAATATCTGATCCATGTAAACGTATCTCCAAATACATTTAATATTTCTCTATGGTGAAAACATTAAACATCCTTTATTTCATGCTCTTTTATTTTTTAGAGAAACATACAGTACATTATGATTATCTATAGTTGCCCTACTTAAATTAAGGACCTTGAGGGGTATCCTGAATTATCAAGGTGGACCCAATGAAATCACAATATTCTCATAAAAGAAATAAGCATGGATGCAGAGGTCAGAGAGAAGACACAGGGGCTTCAAGCCAAGAGCCACTAGAAGGTAGAAAAGGCAAAGAAACAGATCCCTCCCTAGAGCTTCCCACACAATGCCTGTGGACCCAACTTGGAATCTTCATCTCCACGACTATAAAATAATAATTTTGGTTTTGCTTTAGTCACCGGTTGTGATGATTAGTTACAGCAGTAGGAAAGGAAAACACTTCTTTTGTTAAAGTTAAAACGTCCTTAATTTTTCACTCCTGGTACCACTGCTACAGTTTACAGGGCAATATAGCTGATGTAGTGAAAAGACAAAACTACAACAAATAAAAGACTTCAGGAATGTACATCTAGTTGACACTACATTGCATTAATCAATAACTGCACTTTTTTGCAAACTGTATCTATGACAATCCTGAACAAGAAGGGTTTCCTGTTTAAGGTGCAGTAACATTTTTGGACTATGAATCATCATTTTTTCTGTGGCAGATTTTCACACTTGGGATGAATGTCTCAAAGAATCCTGGAACTTTTTGACATCTCTTCAACCACCAAATCCATAACCTTTCCACCATAAGAACCACCCCCTTTCATGGGTCCATAATTTGATTGCTGTTGTTCATTCTAAATTCGAACATCATTGTAGCAATCACCACCACCATAGTTAGAACCTCCAAAATTTCCTCCTTCATTGTAACCATCATATCCTCCTCCTTCACCCTATCCACCACCTTGCTTTCCATATCCTGGGCCACTGCCGTCATAGCCTCCTCTGCTACCATAGCAAGGACTATAGCCTAGTTGCTACCATCACCTCTAAAACTATTATATCTATGGTCACCTCCTCTATAACTTCCTCTGCCGCTGCCACCTCCACAACCATAGTCTCGTCCTCCAACAAAGTCTCACCATGGCCAAAATTATCTCCACCACCTCCAAAGGTTCTTCCCCAACCCATAAAGTTGTCAGATCCATGTCCACAGCCACTTGGTGATCCAGCGGCAGACTGCACCTCTTGTTTAAAAGAGGCCATTTTCACTTCACAACTATGCCCATTAATAGTGTGCTATTTCTGAGCAACAATTTTTATCAGCTTTATCATGACATTCAAGAGATACAAAAAGCAATTCCTCTCCACTCCCCTCCCCAACTCTGCCTGTCTTCCAAAACGTCTACGGTTTCAATCTTGGCACATTCCTCAAATTAGATTCTTCTGTACCTTCATTAATACCACCCACAAAAATCTCCCTCACTCTTAAATGAACACCAGGCTTTACCAAATCCTCTCTAGAAGCAGCTCTCTTTGGTTCCACTCCATGTACAGCAACCTTGTGTGGTCAAGCACACACTGCTTCATCCACCTCGTCAACACAAGAGAAAGCCACAAAACCAAAGCCCCTGGAATGTTTCGTTTCAGGGTCTCTCTTTACAGTCTGTGAGTGTGCCCCTATTCTTAAAGTGTTTTCTCCAACTATCAACTGTAGTTTCAAAAAGATCAGGACACCCACCCATCCACAGTTTCCTCAAATGCTCTGTTTCCTGCACATCACAGTCCTCCATTTTGAGACTGGACTCAGCTCTTCCAACTGCAGTTCAATATGGGACAGAGAGGAAGAGAGGAAAAACACTTCTAAGCTTATGATTGGAGAGTTTATTAAATGGAAAATGCTCACCTCTGATTCCTAAATCATCTTTGAAACAAAGCCATTCCCAAAGAGTAATTTTACAATGGTGTCCAAAATCACAGCAGCTTTACAATTTGACTGTTGAATGGAGAGGTGGGAGAGAGAGAATTCTTTCAGGATAACCACTGTTTGGTTATATTAACCCAAAGATAGTGACTGTGTAAAGAGGAATTACTTATTTCTAGTCATGTTCTGTCCATTAAACATGAATTACTTAATTCGTGTAAATCAAGGAGACATAATAAATTATACTGTAGCTGTTGAATCCTGCCTTGAAGAAAGTGAAACTGATTTAGTTTTCAAAATGACCAGAAGAAAATGTAAGTGAACTAAATTACAGTAACAGAAAGAAAGAAAAAACAGTGCACTGCACTGTTTGGGTATATTATAAAGTCCTTCATTTTGGTCATGAAGCTGGTCTTAAACCTTTTTTTAATGTTTTGTTGCAGGAAAAAAAATTGAAAAGTGGCACACATTTAAATATTCAAACCATAGTAGCAATTAAAAGCAAAAAGAATGAATTAATTAAATGAATATTTGGAGGGTGATTAAATAAATTTAATAAGAAATTTACTTGAATTTATTTCTTTATTTTTTCTATAAACTAAGTATTTCTGTGTTAAACATAAATTTGGTTAGGGTTCTAAACGAAATTATCTTCCCTTTCTCCTCCCTATTAAGAAACTCAGAATCATCCAACCAAATTTGCCTTTTTTATTTAATCAAATAAGGTCTCTTCTAAAACTACAAAGCCAAATTGTTTCCATGCTGCTGGCAAAATTTTAGAGATGTGATATTATGAGTGGTGCACACATTATTATGCATACATTCTTATATAACCACCCAACTTTTCAGTTTCAAAATGTCTCCATACTTCAGATCCCAAATAATCTCAAGTTTTAAAGATTTCTGGTTTTATTTTTATATCTATATTTTAAATATATAAAAGTTATCCTATGTAGCATAATTTCAGGAAAGGAGAACTCATTTGTGAAATTCCATGTAGAATTACTTTCCTTTGTCTTTGTTGTGCTGGAGTTTTTGCAACACGCATTCGTTTCATAAAAGTTTTCTTTCTTTATGAATCAGAACTCATTTTGACCACCAGGGATAAAACTAGGGTGGTGACTGCCAGTAAGAATTTGGTTTTAGACTGAAATTTAGGAAGTTGGTGTAGACAAAAGAGCAAAACAATCTACGTACGGCCCAAACCAGAGGGCAGAGGGGGAGAAATGACACTGCTCAACAATCCCAAATAAGTTAAGCCATAAAAACCAAAAAATACCCTGAATAATAGGAGATATCCCCAAAGGGTAACTATACATTATCTCAAGCGAGATCACAGTAATGCTTCTCTCCATATTTGTCTTCATTTCCCAAGTTCTTATAGTAAGTACAGATTACCTCAGTCAGAGTTAAAATAAGTAGCGTATATATTTACTTTTGAATAATTCCAACCGGTATTTTATCCGATTTCCACCGAAATCCCCCTTTATTGAGAAAGAGGATAAACACCATTCAGGGGCCTTTGAGTTTGGGGCTGAGAAGTCCCAGCAAATCATTATTAAAAATACATGGCTTTGAAACTCGCGTTTCATCCCCAACGTTCGTGAATTTTGCACCTGATAGAGTTAGATCTTATAAAATCGCTCCCCCTTGCCAGATCGTCCCAGCAGTCTAGAACTCCACAGCGCACGTGCCTGCTCTTTGCTTCGGTGGCTTCCCGACCCGCCACCCCACTGGGGTCGCCAGGAGAAAGTTTTTGATTCCTTGCTCCACGGGAAAACTCCCCAAGACGGATGCATCGAAGCGCTCCCCGGTAGTGCAGCCCTGCAAACCTCGCACTCCAGAGCCCCCGGCTGTCCGCTTCTCCGGCCGCCCATCCGCGCACCTACCTGGATCGCCGACCGACCATAGCGGTTAGGAGCGTCGGGCGGCACTCCGGCCTCGAGCAGCGCCCGCACCTCCTCCACCCGGCCCCGCGCCGCGGCCGTGGCCAGCCTGTCCGCCGAGGGCTCCATCGGCTCCAGTGCCGCCCGACCCTCGCTGCCACCCTTCCTCCGCAGCTGTCCTGAGTCAGAGGCTGCCCTACCCTCGGACCTTACGCTCGCTCCTCCTCTTTCTTCCTCTGGGGCTGGCGGAAGAGGCCCCCCAGACTCTGTCCTTGACTCCTCCCGCGGGAGCGCCGCGGCTTTCCATTGCAGGGGGGGCCGCTCACGTGTCTCTGAGGAGGCGCCATTCGCTTGAACGCCACGGGAACGTGACACCCCTGAAGTCGCCCCACGGCGGGGCTCGTCCCGGAGCCGGAAGCGGGCGGTGGGAGGGGGGCGCCTCGGGCCCCTTCCCACCTGTCCCCTCCCCACCGTGGGTGCCACGCGGGTCCCCGAGCGAGAGCTGTTCTCCCGCGTTTCCTCCCCTCCCAGTATACCCTGCCCCGCCCCCAGCCCCTGCGTTAGAAAACCGCGCGGGATTCCTAACTGCCACGCTCGAATCTGGGCGTTTGGTATCGCAGGCACAGTATTGCTTCCTCTTTTAAAATCAGAAGACTCTCAAAGCCGTCCCCTCGCCGCCGAGGAGGGCCAGAGAGGTGTTCCTTCTTTTAAAGGACGCACCGCCCGCTCCCCCTCTCAACGCCGGGCTCGCGCGCGCGGCGTCCACGCCGAGCGAGGCTGCCTGAAGTCGGGCCCTGAGCACTCGTTCTGCAGAGTCGGCCAGCCCGCGCCGCCCCGCCCCCTCTCCCCGGTGAAACGGATGTAGGGAGCGAGGGTTTTGCTGGTACAAGGGCCAAGTCCTGTGGAAGGGCTGGCTTTGGCACGAGTGGGGCAGAGTTCTGCCTGTGGGCACATGGGGGAAGTGGGGAGGGAGTCCCTGGAGGAGAGACTTCAACCTACCGGACACCCTCCCCCACCTTCTCATCTGATGAAAAGGTAAACAGAACTAGGGTATATATAGCAAGCGAAAGGAAATACAGTTAGGTTTTTTTTCCCTATGATTATTACTTTTATGAGTTTAAATATGTTTTATGTTTTGAACTAGGTGGCTCAGACCTTGCCGATAGCTTAAGCCCGTGCTTAATGGGCCTGCCGGATAACCCTGCTCTGTTTCAGTTACTTTTCAATCCTTGGTTGATTTCTCCAGCAGATCCAGAATGCCTTGGACTTTCAGTTGCTGTTTGGTCAGCAAAGCATTCAGTTTGCAAAATGATGCCAGTGCTGGCTCTGCTCCAGATTCCAGCTCCCGGCTAACGGACACCTTTGGAGGCAGAGAAGACAGCTGAAGTACTTGGGTCCCTGGCACCACATGGGAGATCCAGTGCAGTTCCTGCCTCTGGCCTCAGCCTGGCCCAGCCCTTGCTGTTTCCCAGTACTTGGCAATTGAACCCCTGGACGGGACATCCATTTCCCCCCTCCCTCTTTCTCTTTTTAATAAAATATCTTAAAATATAAATTAAAATAAAGTGATGCCAATTAAAACACTTGGGGGGGCGGCGCTGTGGTGCAGCAGGTTAAAGCCCTGACCTGAAGCGCCAGCATCCCATTTGGGTACCGGTTCTAGTCCTGGCTGCTCCTCTTCCAATCCAGCTCTCTGCTATGGCCTGGGAAAGCAGTGAAGGATGACCCAAGTCCTTGGGCCCCTGCACCCTTATGGAAGACCCAGAAGAAGCTCCTGGCTCCTGGCTTCGGATTGGCACAGCTCCAGCCCTTGCAGCCATCTGGGGAGTGAACCAGCAGATGGAATACCTCTCTCTCTGTCTCTACCTCTCTGTAACTCTTTCGAATAAATCTTTAAACACACACACACACACACACACACACACACACCTGTGGGATACTGACTGTTATAAAAGCACACTGTACTTCACTGCATCATCTGTATTTTCCTCTCGGCACCTCTCAAGTACCTGGGTAGCAATGGTGTGGAAAATTCAAACTGTGGATACAAAACCCATAAGATCCTTTTACTTCACCTTAGCGTGTTTTATGAGGGAGAAGAGAAAATACTGGTTGTGAATACATGAGGAAAGGAATAGACTCCCCTTGTAAACTGTATGGCTTCTAGACCAATATCAAAATAAGTTTCTATCACTAAATTAATAGTTCTTAACCTTGGGTGTGGGGAAGAGTAGACTCCTTCAACAATTCATTGAAAGCTATAGATCCTCTCCTCAAAAATGAGAGTGTGTAATGATTTCTTTAAAAATTATGTTCGTGACCAAAAAGGAAACCTGTTGAAGTGAAATGGACACTATGGGAAACGGTGACTTGATCAGCATAGCCCTGACTGTTAATGAACAACTTAATACATTATCCCTCTTAAAAAAAAATTATGTTCATGTACTTCTGAATAAAACCTCTAGGAAATTCAGGGATCACTCTGAAACCCAGCTATGGAAGAGCTGAATTCTTTCAGCGCTTGTACAATGTATCAGACTACTGGTGACGGAAATGAGAAATGGAACCATTTAAAAACATCTTTAGAATGCATATTATAGCAGGTGTGGAGGTTGAATGCTTTGGAGCTATCGAGAACAGGCTTTGGAGTCTGTATACAGTAGCTCAGGCACTTCCAATAGAGCTCCCCAAAGATTATGGCACTCTTGGGTACAGCCTCTTGGTTCTAAAAACTTTTCCCATTACTGATTATAAATCTTGTGTGAATAGTTAATAATTGTGTGAAACTTTTCCAGTTTTTAAAAAACCTGCCACACTCCCAGTTTATTTATAATAGCTCAGAACTGATATTAACATCCCTGGAGAAATAAAAAATATAAAGCCCATGATCCTGCCGCTGGTTATGTCAGCCTCAGTTTTCACATGTGTAAAATGGAATTATAATACACTTGATATTTATTTTCTTCCCTGAGAATTCCATGGCTTTGGCTGTTTTGAAAATCTATACTATGAAATTTGAACCTGTCTCAATTCTGATCACTCACTTATGGCAAAAAAAAGTTTGTTAATTCATTCAAGAGGTGCAAATGTTGAGTAGAGAGTATAATGGTGGCAAGTGTAGGTTTTAAAAATGAGTTCTGGGTTCCAATCTTGAGTTTTCTACTTATTTTCTCTCTAATTTTGAGCAAACTTACTTATTGTCTCTAGGCTTCAGATGTCTCATCTGTATGACTGGAGAAACAATAGTACTTACCTCAAACGGTTGTTGTGGGATTCAATGAGGCATCATATGTAGCCTTAGAAGAGCAAAAGGAAGCGGAGGATTCCATAAGAAAATTAAAAAAAAAAATCCTTTGTAGTGGTGCAGACAGATGCCCAGGATGCTGGGAGCTGAGCCCAGTATTAAGAAAAGAATAGGAGTATAAAGACAGAAAAGAAGAAAAATGTTCCAGACAGAGGGAAGAACATATACAAAGACAAAGATGTTTAAGAAAATTAAAATTAATTAGTTGGAATGTTTGACAAGAGCCTGAAAAAAAAAAAAGGAGAAGAAGAAGAAGCAGGCAAAGGACCACTCAGAGATTAAGAAGAAAAAGTAGGAGTAAGTGTGACAGCAAGAAGCTGGAGACAATGGGTATGGAGTACACTTTCCAAGCTCAGCTGTAATAGTTCAAGGCCATGTACAGTGAAGCAGTGAAGCAAAGCAGATGGGAAGGTGGAAGAGGCCTGAGTACACATGTAAGAAGGAAAAGTGCCAGGTGAGGAGATGGGGCAGTTAGCAGAGAAAAAAAGAGATTAAGGACATGGGCAAGACAGGGTATTTCTGAGGACCTACTTAAAAGGTCAGAAGGAAACAGAATCCAACGGGCATGGGGTGGTCATGTATTTGGATAGAGAAGATACAGGCAGATTTGAAGAGGGAGAAAAGGTCAGAGCTAGGGAGGAAGTTGAGGTGCTTCCTTCCACAACCAAGGAGGCTGGTCTGTTAGCAGAGTCAGAAGATGGGTTAGGAAGTCTGAGAACGATGCAGGATTGGAATACCCTTTATGAGGAAAGATAGATTGGCCTGGCTACAGACTTTTTTTTTTTTTTAATCAGAATGGAGGGTCCAGCTAGAGTGGAGACCATGACACCTACAGGGACATCTGAATACTTATTTAGGTGACAGAAAGCCTATGATTGTGCTCCTACTCCAGAACTCTACAAATCAAAGAACATTAATACTAGACATGAATACAAATTCAGTATGTCACCAGAGACAGAAAGATATCTGAGAAGGCAGTGTTCTGAAATTAGAAATCTGCTTCTGACAAGGGTGTGTATGCTATGCAACTATTCCATGCAATAAGAAAGATGATTTTTGTTAGGAAAAGGAGTCAGAGAAACAGCTCTGGATGGGACCAAATGACAGTACTGCTATATGTAATGATCTCATTTTTGACTGGAAAATCCTGAGAGAGAAATGCCTGCATCAAACATTCCAATTAATTAATTTTTAGCTTCCATGTTTATAATCTCCAAAATGGGCTCTTTTTTATTCTATCCTTTACACCTCATGGGATTATTATATCAAGTGAAATAAAATATACAAAAACTTTTTTAAAAACATCCATATAAACATACATAGATGTGTACATATATTTTCCATTTTCAATATTAGCATTGTTACTAAAAATAATCATTCGGTGATAAAGTCTGAGGTTAAAAATAAAATATACATAAGATATTTTTAGAAGAATATAGAAAAGTCTGTTGATGAAGAACTCAGATGGGCATGTGACTGACTTTTTCTTTTGTTAAGATTTATTTATTTATTTATTTATTTGACAGGCAGAGTAATGAGAGAGAAAGAAAGAAAGAGATCTTCCATCCACTGGTTCACTCCACAAATGGCCACAGCAGCCAGGGCTGTTCCAAGCTGAAGCCAGGAGCCAGGAACTCCATCTGGGTCTCCTATGCAGTTGTCAGGAACTCAAGTACTTGAATCATCATTCACTGCTTCTCAGGCTCATTTTCGAAGTTAGATCAGAAGTGGGGAAGCCAGGACTTGAACAGCCTGCTGTTTAACTCTGTGCTCCACAGTGCCTGCCCCATGAGTGACTTTTCACATTCTGAAATTTGACTTTTGTACTGTGTCATATATTACTCTAATGCAACAAATTTGTAGACAAATAGGAGTTGCTTT